ACAGTTCTTTGAGGGCTTATTGTTACTCTCTTTTATTTTGGCTAAATGTGCTTCGTTTGCCATATGTTCAGCAAAAAGCACCACAGTGACCTAAATGCTACTGCCACACTGTATTTCAAAGCAATAAGATCGCAGTGTTCTTATAATATGGAATAAAATATTGTCGTTGCTTGGCTTTGATCTGGGAAAGAAAAAAAAGACACTGCTTTATTTTGACTCACATTTTGCCATCCTGTCATGGTCAGACTAATCCTAAATAGCTAATGGTTGAATATACTGGAAGCATCTAAAACCAGGATATTAGAAAACCGAATGAGGTCAGTAACAGTAGGAGCTGCAAGGCCCTTCACAGTTGTCCCTCCTCCCCAGCCCATCAAAGCAAATAGAGGTAAAATCTGAGTGCATTCACATCTAGTTAAAATCCTATGCGAGTTAATAGAGAAATTAAATACAGACTTCTGTCTAGTTTTGTTTGCAATTGTCAATGCTGCAAACGTTGACATAATCAGGACCATGGTGGAAAGAGTGATTCTCAAATGCATTCACATCAACACCACAAAAATAGCATTTGCTTCTCTCACCATGAAATGGGGAATAGGCTTGGTAGATGATAATAGAGCAGCTCCAGGCTTAACATGTCATACCCTTCCCCAGCCACGTTTTTTCTGTTTAGGTGGTTGGCTCACCTTTAATATGGTCTAAGAGGCAGCTCTTAGTGATACATCCCAGGAGACTAGCCATGAGGCTGAGATGTAAAGAAGTGGCTATTGACTTTCCCTGCCACACCACTCTCTCAAATGGAGGAGGAAGGGACATGTCTGCAGACTAACTCATCTGTGGCAGCTCAGTCAGGCAAGCTGATTCATGAGAGAAATGAAACCAGCCTAACATTTGCACAGCTGTGGAGGAAGGGGAGTACTAGCTGCTAATACAAAAAGTTTAAATCGTCTCTTCCCACCAGGCAATGATGCATGTAGGAAAACAAAGGGGACTTTCCTCCTCACTCCTTTCCACCCCTACAAGAWAAGAGGCAATCTCATTTTCTGTCTGCAAATCTTTCTGGACAGTGGGCTGTTTACTTGCATGGGTTTAGGGCCCAAGACATTTAGGTTAGTCTATTAGCAAACTGCGGGGATGGGAGTGAATAATTGCCACACCAGAGCTAAACTCGTTTTCCAGGAAAGGAGGTTATTTTATGKGACTAAGACCACATTTGATTTTGCTATTCAAATCTGTTGTGTGTGGATTCATCATTTCACCATAAGAAAGTGAGAAAGCACAAGATTATCTAGAAATTAAATCTTTCCATGAGAATTCCTTAAGTTCCTCTTCTCATTACATTTCCATTCAACTTTGAWTTTATGTGCAAGTGCCTAGAGCTGTAAAGTAAGAGGCTAGTCTCCTTTTCCATTGCAGCTACTTCTATGCCAAATTCTATCATGTCCAGAAGCATACACACTTCTTTTATGCTTTAAAATAAGCAAAAGGAATCCATATTTCCCAAAGAGTCATGAAAGTAAAAAGGAAGCCTTTATAAGAAGTCACATTTGTTCCTGAAAAGGAGAAGTAGCAGCGAAGCAAACAGGGGAAAAATACTAACGGAGGATGTGTTCATTTTATTAGCCTAGCAACAAAACATACTGGAAGGCAACAGTGCTTTCGATATTAAACACATTAAAAGTCCTCATGTCAACAAAACAAAAACACATCCATATGGAAAAATTTCACCTTATCTTGATATGTGCAGTTTTGCCAGTGCCACCACAAGGGAAATAAATCCTTCAATATCCATTTTTATGTGAGGTTGTATTTACCATAACAAGATAGATTTGTTCTGGATTTTTTTTGTTGTCAATATATCCTTTGTTAGGCAGTACCTTCATCTCCTAGCAACAGTGTAGGGAAATCCATCAGAGACATGAAATTTTACTGTGAAATATGAAGGCTCACTGTGGCTTGTACATTTTTTGAAATCTTCACTGACATGCAAATACTTACATGCAYTTATGTCTGGTTCCCGACAGACTGATAAACCAGTACAGAGAATGGGAACAGTGAAAAATCACTCTCTCATTAAAAACCAATTGACCAAGACACATGAAATGCCAAAGTATCTGCTCAACCTCCTGCTCTTAACCTGTCTTTTTCACTCCTTCATTCACACACATATACATTACATGCTCTTGGGAAATTGGATACATGCACACCACATTTAAAATGTTTAAATGTAATCACAAAGCAATACTTTCAGCCTCAGAGTTTTGCAGTGTTGTATTTCAAAACATATGAAACCAGTAATAAACCTCTTGTAGGCAGTAGTACATGGTCACTGAGAGGGCAGTGGTTCAGAAGATGGTTTCACTGCTCATACTTTTCAGGACCCATGCCAACATTTGCTTTTATTTTATTCTTCTGTCTTCACAGAGTGAACCCACGCTCCATTTTAAGGAAGTTAAGGGTGGACAAAAATGCTTTAACTATGGGATCTCTCTTAGCTGAGCTCTGTAATATCCCTTTGATTACAGTGACTCTCTGCTGCTAGTTTATCAAGGTTGAACTTGTCCCTCAGGCTGGCTGGAACTTCCCAGGAGGTGTATTGCTAGGGCAGATGCTACCACTGCTTCAGCTTAGAGCCTGGGGGAACAAAAATGGAGAACAGTGCTGCAATCTCATGGCCTCTCTGTGGCATGAATAAATGGGCATTCCCTTCTTGATCAGAGTCCTGATCAAATGGTTCAGCTGTGTTATGAGTCAGCCAGAAGGCTACCTCACTCCTCAGCTTTATCAGATTCTAGAAATACGAGGGTAGCAAGAAATGAGCCAAGGGGCTGGGCTGTGAAAGCAGGCTTTGCTAGAGGCTTTGAGGATTTCTGATTAAAGTTGCCTTCCCCCAAATACATATGTATTCCCCCAAAGCAGCTCTCTGTGCACATTATCATGCATAAGAGCCTCCACACAAGCACTTGTGACTCACCACTCTGCTCCCTATCGGACAGCACTGTCTGAACAAGTCCCTCAACTAGAACAGTCTTTTTATGGACACAGTTCCAAGTCCAGTAAAAGACTCTTTATGTCTTTGTGGGCTGACATCCATGTCCCTTGAAAAACCTGACTTAAAAAGTAAATTATACAGTTTAATCTCCTATACTAACAGAAAAACAATGTTTTATTTGCTAGTCAAATAGAAGGAACATTACTGTGTTCCTTTACCCSATAGTCACAGAGGGAACATGACAATAGTTAAAATTGTTTTCATATGTTCTGTAAAATGTCCCTCGGGATTTAAAATCTTCCAGCAAATATTGTGATGGGTTTTCCTAATGAAAGGAGAGGTAACCCAGAGGTACTGTCAAGAGCCCCTGTAGGCTTAAAGTAGCATAAAGTTGTTCTCATAGTTCCTTATTATTTCAGTTGGAAAATGGCAAGCCAACTGAGGGGCACACCTCTTTGTCATTGAGCTAGCCTGAGACTGGAACTGTTTCTTAGAGGATATTAAAGGCATCCTCAAATCAAAGAGTATTTTTCTTTTTTTTTTAAATTATGCCCTATGGACTTGGAGGGAAAGGTTAGTTGGCTACAAAGAAAATGCATAGTTCCAGATACAAAAAAAAAAAAAAAAAAACCCTGCCATTTATATCTCTACTGAATGGCAGTTGGAAAGACAGGCAGCAGAGAAAGCTATTCCCTAGCAAAAGTCTTGGTTTTCAAGAGGAAAATAGCATCCATTTATTGGGTAGTGCTGTTGTATCTGGGAGATCCAAGTATGGACCAGATCTCCTCCTGCCCATCCCTAGAGCAAAAAGGCTTTTGTTACAAGGAAATGTGGAGGGCCTCTGCTCACACTCTGCCTGGCCCTCAAACATTTGCAGAGGACAAGAGAAAAATCCCAGGCAGACATCCTATTTTAAGAAGGAGTTTAAATGGCTCTGTTCCTTGTCATTTATCCTCCATGAAATTAGCTATATGACTTCGGTACAATGATTTCAGTCACTGAGAATTTATTTCCACCTAAGCTGTGTTTGCTCTTGAACTTCTTGCTGTTGACTCGCACACATGTTCAGTATATAGAGCAAACACTTTGGTGTGAAACAACATCATACACAATGAGTCATCAGTGCTCTGGTCCACAGCCATCCCACAGAGAGCTTGTGCTGTCAGTCACTCTGTCATTTGCAAACATAGCTACAAACACTCAAAACCAGACAGTTATCTTGTATAACACCTTATGGAGAATCTGCCTTAAGCAAACAGGAACTGTGTTAATATATTTTTAGAAGTGCTTGAATAGAATAAGGTTTTTGTAAGGAATCAGATTTTGGACAAGTTCTATCTAAATTGATGCATTTTAGTGAGATGATTTTTAAAATACTTATAAATTAACCTGTGATTTACAGCTGAACCTGTCCTGGTTTCTATGGCAATATGCAGCTATCATTGCACATTATATGCTAGTGGACATAAAAAATGCATTTATGCATCCTGGGGAATAGCACTAAATAAATTAATAGTACTAACTCCAGACATCTTGTATTCTTCCRTCATATTGTTAACTGATACACCTTAAATCCCTTGATCATGTACATGCATTCATGCTGGAGCTAACACCAATCAAAAGTACAATCAGATTTTTGAGAACAGAGCCATTTGCTAAATTGAGTGTTGTCACTTAGTTATTTGATGAGTAGCAATCATAGATTGATGAAACAATGCCAAGCAAGATGAAGTCATTTCTGTACAGAAAACAAACTATCGTAAGACTTATATTCTCCTTAAAATTATTTGGAAGACTGAACTAGCAGATAGCTTGCATGTCCTCAACACCAAGGCAGGTGTCAGTCAGTACTGGTAAATAATTTGCTTAGCACATCACTGTAAAATTTGACATTACTTATACTCTGAATAAACAGCTTTCCAATTGCATAATTGTGCATGAAAAATAATCACAAGAATTATCACTAATTAAATAAATAACATGCATTGTTTTTATATTGAACGGATACCTTGGTGTTGAGTGTAGATAATTTGGTGCGTAGCTCAGCATCCACAAGATCCATTCCAAAACCTTTCACTTCAGTATCATCCTGAGATGAAAGATGAATCCAAAAAGAATACAGAACTACAGGTCCTGTATTTTAGTAGCTCTTTCTTCAGATGAATACACCCATAATGGTGTTAGATGTTTTGTTTGCCAACACCTAATAAAAAATGATGATACAAAAACTATTAGTTTTTGCCTGTCTGTAGCAGATGTAACCTTTGAGAGTTCCCAAACATTTTAAAGTTACATTTCAGCAGACATTGCAAATAAACAAAGAAATAGCCAAATGAATTCATAATCCTATTTGAAAATGTGATTGTCCACTAAGATGTAAAACAGACTGGTTAGCAATTGTGCCATTCCCTGAGAGATTAAGAGACACATTCAGAGCTGTTGCTTCTTCGTTTGCTCTAGACGGTTAAAGAAAACAGTATGAGAGATTTGTTATCATACCTTGCCTGAGAAAGCTTTGAGCTTTGTGGCTAGTATATGGCATGAAAGGGAGGTTAAGGTACCCAGAATTTCTCCCTTGATTGCCTGCCGCTCAAACAGCTATTTTCTCCAAAGATACACCCTATGTCATTACTTCTAAAAAGGACAGGAAGCACTGGAAAATAAAAAACAACATTCAGCCATGAGTCCTAAGCCCATAATGTTGATGTATGCTACCACAGTTATACTAACCAAGGCTGTGGGCTGTCAATGTAAAACTGTCATTGCCTTTTTCTATCAGCACATACTCTGGCTCCTGGGATAAAATCTGAAATACTTCAAGGCGCAGATGGCCCAGCTTCTGCTCAAAACACAGCTTTTCATTCCTGTGCAGCCAGACACAAAAGCTCAGGATCTCTTCAGAGAACATGCATTACTTCAGGAAATTTGCAGTTTTTCAACTCAATACCCTGTTCCTCCCCAGGAGACCTTTATGTCAGGAAAGACAGAGGGGAAATATTTTAAAACTTCACGCTTAAGTCCATATTGACATATAAAGACCATCTGCAGAGCCTTGTGCTATCTCTGAGGGAAGAGAGCTTCTGCCTCCCATGCAAATGAATTCATTCAAGTGCATAAAGATTGGCCTAGAACTAAATAGAAATCCAAAATCATTGCCAGTAAGACCGTCTGCAAAGGAGCCAGTCTAAACTTCTGCCCACACAGGTTCGAACAAACAGAATAGATCCAATTACCTGATACCAGAATCTGATTTTTTCTTGTCCAAGCAGTATGCCATGCTGTAGCTCCTTTATCTAGATCAATATTTCAGAAATTATATGGTCAAAGATGATAAATTTACTTTCTTAATATTGGCACTGATGGTGTGTTAGGGAAATTCATTTTGCAGTTGATTGGTGTTGCTTGAGGGTCTGTGATCATCACAGTTAAGCTCATTTCCCTCCATAAAATATATATGCATTTTTCAATCTGAATAGGAAATGTGGGAGTTTTTCCTCTCCTCTTTCTCTTCTCCACCCCTTTTTGATCTGGGAGCAGAGAATTCAAATTCCAGTCAGTTAGCCCTGTCACAGCAAACAATTTCCAAACCATCTGCTATCTAATAAAACAACCCGTCTAGACAAACCCCAAGCCAGGCAACAAATCTGATATTGCACTTGAAGTCATCATAAGTATTAATAACGTGCCACTGCTAACCTGTCAAGCTTCTTGAATGGGAAAAGGCCTCATATTTCCAGTCTCAAGCACAAGGCATTCACAGTAACCGGAGCCATCTTGATTCCAAGGAACTCAGGAATAAAATGAACCTGAAAAAGATTTTTCTATAATTAGATGCAATAAAAAAGCTATTTAGAAGATAATATCAGACCCAGATAGCCAGTATGAACCTATTTACACCTATGCAAGTGGTGCATTAGGAGACAGCAGAGAGAGGCAGATGCCCTTGCAGGTTTGTGGGAAGGGATCTATCAGCCTGTGCTGGAACACCTGAGGTACTTAAAAGTTTAAGTGAGAGTTATAGTTAGGTGGCTGGGTTACAGCTCAGTGCGTTCAGGATCTGTTATAAAACCATTTTTGATTAACTACTTGGCTGTTAGGTCATCTCAGGTTTACTGGACTCAGACTCACTTTTGAGAAAGGGAGTAAAAATCTTGACTGTCTCCAATGAAAGGAATCATGAGTTTCATGCTGTGTGAGCTGAGCATTTTTCTTTCCCCATCCTCTTGTATTTCTTTTTTAAGTGAGCTGATTTGATAAGAAAGCTGTCATATCTTCTTGACGAAAGAGCTCCTAAATACCCAGAAGCACTGGCATAGCAGGGCTCCAGTTTCTAGGCTTTTCATTGTGCAATTCGTAGTCGAAGTCTGAGGGCAGCAGTCTTTCCAGGGAGGATCACAGGGCAGTGAGATAAGTTTAGTTCCAGCTGTTTTAGGAAAGAGGTTTTATAGCTCCCTTTTACTAGGAAACCTAGGAAAGCAGGTTGTGGAAATACCTAGGCTGTTAAAAGGCTTTCCATAATCTCCTTTTGTTCAGAAAGGGTAAACCGTGGAATAATAAATAAATAAATAAATCAAGCAGGCAAATAATGAGCATAATGCTGTAGCACTTTGGACTTCTGTCTAGAAACTTTTTTTTCTATCCTGTCTTCAGCAGTTCGTTCCATTGTTTTGGCTCTGTATCCAAAACACAAGTACATCTGTTAGGGTTTGACCCAGAAGATCCTTTAAAAACTCCTTTTCTAAACTAGGAGCACAAAAATGACAACATTTACAGCTAGATATTTGTTTAACTCTGAGCTTTTTTATGGCCTACAAAGTGCCAGTCTGAATCAGGAAACCACAGTGCTACTGAACAGTCGGTGAAGATTTGTCTGCCTGAATTTTGCTCAAGCAGGCAAGGCTAAAATCTTTCTCATAGACAACTGCAGTGAAATAAGAGAAGTTGACTGAGTCTCTTCGGCTTCACTTGGGCTGAGCAGTGGGTGAGTCTAAATATATTGCCAGAAATCTCATGGTTGTCTAGACCTCTGACTTGTAGAAAAGGTGTCCTGGTTCCCTGTGACTAGGTTTTATTCCTACAGAAAAGGAAAAGGGAGGTTAAAATGAGCTGACAGGACCTCTTTAGGGATTTTCAGGTATGTCTGCTGAGGTTAGAGYGCTTTCCCACTCAAAGTAGTATGATACCTCAAGTTTCAGTTGTGAAGATTTTGTGAACTGAAGATATTCATGGTGAATTGTTCCTGATTTTGAGAAAAATGCCTAGAAGAATGTGAACTAGAAGAGACAGGTTTGGAAAAAACATAACTGAAAACTGGAATTAATAGTTATATTAATCCAGGAAGAGAGAGTAACRTGTAGAGAGAAAGGTTAGTGAGCCCTGAAAGGGTGAGTACAAAAGAACCTGTCCAGGGGCCTGAGAAAGGGTCAGTCGGACATACCCCACTAGCATCTCCTCCCTTGCAGCAGGCATGCCTACTTTCAAAAATGGCTTTCAGTGCCAAAGGATAGGACATCACCATTCATTAAACCAGGCCCAAGTGGAAAAAAAAAAAAGAATGAGAAATGGAAGGAAAAAAAAAAAAAAAAAGCCTGTAATTAAACCTTGCTGGATTTTGTAATTGGAAGTAGAATGAAACAAATGGGTTCTGTAGTAACTAGATGACAAATTATAGGACAGCCAGGCAACCTTTAACAGTATGGGCAAGACCATTTAAAAACCTACTTAAATGTTAAGAATTACAGCTATATTGATTAGGAATTACAGTTAATTTAATCGTTTCCTCACAGTAAAGCAGAATTAAACTGTTAACCTAAACTGCTAATCTAAACTGCAGTGTTATAAACATAGCCAATTTTGATTAAGCTGTTACCAGTGTAAATATGTCATTATAATGAAATTAAAGTACTATCAAGAATTGTAGTATGAAAACTCTAGCCAGATTTCAGTGACAGTAAGATAATAGATAGAAATGCAGAAAGTATTGATCTTATATGACTAACAGGCAGCTTAATAATAAAAAGAGGAAGACACACTGAAGAACTGAAGATAAAAATATTAATAGTGAATCTGTAAGTGGTGCTTCAAGTACATATTTGAAATATCAGAAAATGTTAGAAAAACTCATTTCCAAAATAATATTCCCTTCCTATTTATGAGATATGAGCATCTAAAGTCGTATATCTACTATAGGCACATAGATCAGTGAAACAATATTTATTAACCATAACTATACTATGGGCTTTTAAAAAACATCTGAACAGAGTGGAGGAAAAGCCTATTTCTGTTTAAACTGAGAGCAAAATATATTTTTGCTTTTATAGATGTGTTTATGTGTCTTCATTTTCCCATTTGTAAGTTGGGGCTAATATGCATGCGACATTTAAAAGAAACATAATGAGAAGCCAGCCAAAATAAAGGGAATACAGATATCAGAGTGATGAGTACTGTCCTAACTATGCCTTTTTCACATCACATCAGACGATGCAAAACTCACTCTTTATTTTCAGTGCGTGAAATTATGCCCAGATCAGGTTTAGATTTTTTTTTCCCTTGAGGATAACTATGAGAAATGCTTGTGGCCTCCATATTCAGCAGACAGGAGGCTAGGGGACCCTTAACCAGGTCCTAAGTGCTCCAGGTCTCTCTACAGCAAGTATGACCCAGCTGCAAATCACTACATTGGAGCAAGACAATAACTGCACTCAGAGGAAGCCATCAAAGACTTCCAAAAGAAACCTGCTTTGAGATGAAAGAGAAAATTACTATGGCAATCAGCTTTACTAAGTAAAAAAGGAAAGCTGTTTCTCTTTGGGAAAATTTCCAGTGTTCAAGAAAGGGGGAGAAGGCGGAGAGAGAACATGATAAGGTCTCACACGTTCAATTGATTGTTCACATCTAACAAAAATAGCCCTGCTCTGTTCCCATTGTCCTGCAGCTGCTGGCTTCATTATGCTCATTGTGCATTTCCTTTTGGTTGAACAACACGGTCACCAAGTTTCCTTTCTTGATTTCCTAACAAGATTTGTGATGAACTGTAGGAAAAGCAGTATTTCAAAACAACGCCTTTCACATTTTATTATGGCCATCTAAAAGCCCTGGCTTCTTCCTYGTAGTGTAGCAAAGCTATTTCGGCAAGCATCTGTGCAGGTAGCAAGGTACTTTCTTGAATTAAGATCCCATCTCTAGATTTTCATTTATTTATTTATTTAATTCCAGGAGCATGATTGTATTAATGTAAACTTCAAGCTTCCTCATTAGGTGACAGGAGAAGCTTCCTGGACTCAAGGCCAAAAGATCTTTATCTTGGTAAAGGAATCTGTGATGTGAATTTCACATTAAAAAGATCCTCTTGTCTCTATTTAACAACAAGTGTTAAGTCTCTGAGGAATCATTTCTCTATATACAGCAGTTTTCAAACAAGAATCAGGAATTGCCCCCATCATTCCTTTACTTTTCCTGATGACTGTTAAAGCTATGACTGAAATATATACCTGATCTTGTGTGGCAGGCTTGGCCACAATAAAGCTGAACAGCCCAGGTGGCTATAAGCCACAGTATCATTCTCAAGAGTAGGATTTTCTGAATATGAAAGTTAATCATTGTAGCAATATRACTGAATATCATGAGATGGCTGAAAATTTCATACAACTATTTTGCAATGTATTAAGTCCTCTTCAACTAATTTTCTTTAGGTTTCTATTTATTCCACCCCTGTGAAATTACAGCACACTTTTCCATAGAGAATTTACAGAGACTAGTACTATGTATCTTTGTTCATCTCCCAGTATGGATTGAAAATGCAAGCTCCTTGTCATGCCCTGTGACACTTCTTTTTGCTTATATTTTTTCTTCAATAAGCAGCACCAATATATGAAGAAACCATTTCAGAAGTTTCAAAAAAAAAAAATCTGAAGTCAAGATTTGTTGTTTCATTTGGTATTTCACTGTTATTCTGTATTATTTGTAAATGTATTAACTGGTATTTCAAACTAGTATTTGTAATACTAGCTTAGTATTACAAATAATAACTAGTATTTGTAAATGTATTACTGTAAATGTATTAATGTTACACTGGATATAATCAGCTTGGGCTAAATTTCTGAAGTGGTTGCAGCTGAACAGAATTTGCTTCTGCTGAGGATTGCTGGACAAGAAGGGCAGCCAGCAATGGACAGTCTGAATGTTTTTGTTTAGCCCCTCCCTGATATCTAATCAGAAAGCAGCCCTTCAGGAGCAAAACACTGGCCTCGCACAAGGATGGGGGAGAAAAACTTTGGGAATAATCAGCAAAATAGAAGGGCACCTGTGAAAGCATCCTCAGTCAAAAAAATAAAAAAAGGAAAGAAAGAAAATATTTTTCCAGCCCCACTTCTCCCTGAGCAATCAGGCTGCTTCCTGGACAAGTGACTTGTTAGTCCAGGAATTCCAGCCAAACAGATAAGCTACTATTGAGTTCACCTTATTTGCTGCCAGATCCTCGGTCTTAAAAACACTTAATGTTCAACAACTCCTGATCCAAATGTCATGCTTCTCCTCTTAAATATTTTACATAGTTTTGATTGAAGAAAATCTTGGCAGGCATTTTTGAGTTCCTCATGACCCTCCCGGCAGACCTTTCCTGGTCATGGACTTTACCGTGGACACTACGTCTTTGAAATATTTATTTTGGCTTTTAAACAGGGTCTTAATGACACATCAAGTCACTGATAAAAATGGAGAAGGCAAATCAATGCTTTTTGTACATTAAATAATGCACAATAATAATTATGCACAATAAATAAAGAAGGAAAAGGGATAAAATACTGACTAGTCACCAGTGATTTCAGGCAACAGCTCACACAAAGCTCATTCCCGAGTCTGGAACCCATAAAATAACCAAGGCCTTGAAATTGCTGATAACCTTCTTCAAAATCTCCTCCTTTTACAGTTTGACCTAAATTTTCCAATATCCATAAAAAAAATTATGTAAGAGGGGAGGACACAAAATAAGCTTACTTCCAATGCCATTATTAATGCTTTGGCAGTGTGTTTTATCAGCTCTAAGATTTTTCTTCAGCATCACAGCAATTTAATTATTCTTCCTGTATCACACCCCTTAAATTTATAGTTTATATAAATTTCATAAATTTTATAAATTTTAAACTTGAAATTAAAAAAAGCTACTAAACAAAAGTAATTGTAATAACTATTTCATCAGCTGTATAATTGTTTCAAACATGCAATACTTCATCAATTAAGAATAATAAAGAACAATATTGATTAGACACTGGGAAAAAGATGACATCAGATAAATAGCAGGTCAGTTACTGACATATGAAAGGTGAATTGCATTCAATGTCTAGAGGAGGCATTTTCTTTTAAATATATCAGAACGTGATTAAAAAGAAACTGAACTTGTTCAATAGGCAATCTGTCGATTCTTGGGTGATCGGGACTTAACAGCAAAGATTGGGTGTGCAGATGAACAGATCCTGTTGTTAAGTCCCGATTGGCATGGAGGTCTATCATCCAGAGAAGTAATCCAATATGATTCCTCATAATCGTTTCTTTTTAAAGATACTTAATGATGTAAATTTTGTACTTATTGTCCCTAAAAATTTCTAAATTCTTACAGATATTTTTATTGCTATGGTAACTGTTTCAAAGAAGTGATAAAATTGGAAACAACCTTTACTAGTCAAACTAAGCCCATCATTATATTATTAGTTTTATTGGTCCTTCGTACCCACCCACAGGGCTCCTATAGGAACATCAAAAGTGTGCTTACTCCAAAGCCTGAGGAATTTCACAGCTCAAGTTGTATCAGCCGTGTGCAAAGAAAGATACTGGACTTCATATCTGACCAAAACTGATGATACCACCAATCTCCACATACTGTATCCTTGAGTAGCATACAGTGTACTGAGTTTTCCTGCTACACTTTGCTGCTCAAATACATCAGTGTAAGCCTTAAATACAGTCATTGCAGATACCCAGACTAATTGTCACCAGCTAAACCAAGCCCTGGAAGCAGAGATCTMATTTGTTATTGTGCTGCTCAAAAAGTCATCCTGAGTTACCAGCCCAGTCCCAGGCATCAGGATTCCCCTTGCGAGGACCTAGAAGTCAGGCATTACATGGTCTGAAAGCATTCAGACCATTCATTGGATCCGTCTCTGATCAGCACAAAATAGTTTTCATTCTAAAGAAAATTGATTGTATTACTTCGACCTTCCCAGATTCCCAAAGAATCAGATCTTTTTTCAGGAATATTCCATAAGAATCAAATACATCTGACCTGATAACAGTCTGATGAGCTGAAAGATTACAAATACTTTAGGAAATCACACTACCAATCATTTCCATAGTAGTAGCATAATCTTAGYATAGAGCCTATAAACCCCCTAAAACTACCTTGGTTGGGACTCAGTTGAGAATTTTGCTTGGAGAGAGGTTGTCTCCCATTCTTCTGCATGCTGTCAAATAAAGCAGAAAAAGACATGATGATCTTTTCAAAGATTCACACAGTTATAGTCATATATAGTATCAACAAAGAGGTTTTTCCAGATGGTATTCCCTTCAGGTCTGCTATAGATCCCTGGTATTACCAGTGCCACCTCCTGGTGCTGAAACATACTGAAATGCGCCAAAGAATAATAACCAGCCATGCAGGAGTGATGTTGTCAAAACAAAAAAAAAGAAACTTCACTTCCAAACTCCACCTTCAACCCTTTTTTGTTTTTTTCTCTATGGATTTTTTTCAAAGCGCTGTTTAATAGATAATTTAAAACTTGAATATACTTGTAACTCTAAACCAAGGAAAGGACAAGGAACCATCAAAGGCAAGAGGTTACCATGGTCCTTTTTACAAAGCTGAACCCAAAACAGGTGTATGCAGTTCAAATTAGTCAAAACRGAACATAAGAAAGATTAGGAGTTTAAAGTTGTATTTAGAAATATTTGTAGCTGTCTACGGATCTGCAAGACTAAGAAAATTCTTGCAGCATTAACAAAGCTTGGATACAAAACTTGAGATTTTGATTGCAGATTCAAGGCTGAGGATTTTATGTGTTCCCCCTTCCAGAGCATACAATTTATGTTGAGTTACCCCAGCACATCTTAGAAAAAAATAAATTGTGCATTCTTCATAAGAACCAGATGAATAGAGTATTAAAATGATGATATTTACTATAAACTGCACATTTTACTTTAAGTACATCTTCTTCCATCACTTTTATACCCTGGTTAGTAAATTGTCTTTCCTGCAGCATTTTAGACTATACTGGAGGAGGAAAAGTTTTTTTTTTTAAATGAACTGCTTTTTTCTTTTTTTTTCTTGGCTAATTCCTTTCTACTAGGCAGAATAATATAGCTATAATGGGGGTTATAGCCCCCCTCAAAATATTTATGAAGTAATATAGTCTAACATTATGAATGTCAAATAGCCTAGTCTCCTCAGACGAGTAAGCAGTGAGTCAAATGTTGAAAAACATGCTTAGCATTAGTGAAGCGCCATTTAAATAGGGAGCAGTATTGCCCAGGGCCCTCCGGAAAGACTGCCTGCCTTCTTCTTGAGGCGTTTTTTAACRAAGCACCACTAAAATCAGCAGATGAAAGAAGCAAGACCAGGACATGACAGAGTTGCTGACAGAAGGCAGAATAGGACTCAGTTTATGACTCTACCAACTTGCTCTTTCAAAGTGACCAAAGAAAAGCCATTTCTTCTGATACCAAGTCAGATGTGATCCTGGGGTTCTGTCTACCTCAATATCCCTACCAGAGTGGTACAAAAAGGTCCTTGTGCTGATAGTTTTTCCAAAACTCACTACAGACACAGCACTGATTACTTCTTGGGATGGATTGAATATTGGAGTATTTACAGAAATGAACTCCCCCAAAAGGCAGATGATGGGGAAAACCTACATATAACCATGAAAGCAATTGATGTTACACGTTCAATGCAGGCTCTGGTTTTTTTTTCAGCAATACTTTCCCATCTCYTCACTGTGTCATGCAGAATTTCACAGTAAGAGAACTCATATCTTTAGGTTGGAGAAAGCATCAATTCTGTCTTTATTAAATAAACTTCTGCTAATATTGTAGCACAGGGCAATGTTGCACCTAAAATGCAGCTGAACATGCAGCTTGTTTGCTCCAGGAGAGGGCAGTGGAACCCACATAAACTTTGTAGGGATGTGGCAAATCTGCATTGAGCTACTTCAGCAATGCCTGCTTAGTCAACCCAAACATTGACCTTGGTGGCAGAAGCACGAGCAGATTCAACAGGATGAGTATGAGCAAAGCTCCATATCTTGTAAGCACTGTAAATTGATTTGTGTTAGTGTTTCCTAGGAGAGGATTATGCAACTGCTTTCTCTGTCTCAGCTCATGGAGATGAAAAAAATGTCATCTGGAGGCGGCGTTTGCTTGCGTTTAGGTTAATAGGTCTCATTTGTTCTGTAAGCATTGAGGGAAGCAGAACCAATGGAGGAACTTGTAATTCTACTTTGTAATTAAGATAATGTGCCATGCCGGCCCTCAATCATATTTTTGGATGCTGCAGTATCCATGACACATCTTGGAGAGAGCACAGCTGTGATTAAACATTTTTGATAACCCATAAATATAACATTAGTTGCCTTGGTTAGGTTTCTGATAACATCATTCATTTCAGATCATTCAATTAGTGCAGACAAAGGGGCTCTTTCCAGGAGACATAATGTCATTGTCTCTGGAAAGGTACGTATTTCCCAATGACTGTTTATCACTCTGTAATTACAGTGCTGCAGCAGCCATTCTCTATATTATGAGGAGTCCTTTTTGTGCCCAAGGATCCAACAGTTCTTTGTTTTAATTTATTTTCCTCTTAAATACCTCCTGCTATTTAGGCAATAATTCCCTGTAAATCAATTGTTACCAGCAGTTAATGACTGGTTGGTTAATTAATAGCTGAAAGCAAAGCTGAGGGTGTTTGCTGTTCTAACAAACCACTAGACGTTAACTGGTATTATTGCTAACATACCCTATAATCAATGACTTCAGAAAGCTGCAACATAGCCTATGTATGATTTCAAGAAGGGACTAGCTGAGTTGCAACAGGTGGAGGCATTATTAAAATGCACTGACATGCTTGAAGCCATGTGTCCCTTGGCAGGTAGCAGATGAGATTCAGGCATGGAGGCCACAGCCTGAGGCTCCCATGGGGGAGCAAGCTGTGGGAGCAACCTCATCTTGCGCTGATGCAGCTTCAGCTGCAGCCTGAAGCGACCACTTAGGGGACCGCATGCATGAGCACGGCGTTCCACACTACGGGTGAGGTTTGCGCAGTCTGTGCTTGCCTTGCAGTGAGGAGAACCATTGCATAAGGGACAGGGTGTGCAGGCACTATGAGATTTTACGTGGGAAGGCTGCAGGGACTTTGAGCCTTTGGGAGAAAGGGCTCTTCCCAGGCTTGCCCCTGCTACCTCCCGTCTTGTTCCCTGTTGCCTGGGAGCACGGTCCTGCCTGAGCAGTTTCAGTGCATAAAGTCCCTGGGACTCCCAAACCTCATCTCACATGCACTGGTGGCAGCCACAGTCTTGCTGCTGAAATTCAGAGAACTGCACCATTGTAAGCAACATGACAAAAAGCCTTAGATTTGGTCATAATCAGAATCTGATTATTCAGAATATTTAGGGGTATCTCTGCTCTGACTGAGAACTGTATTAAGATGGTTTTAATGCAACAATCTGCTCTGGTTATCTCTTGAAGGGACAGGTTTCTCAGATAATCTCTTTTCACAACATTTTCATTTAATATTTATATAAGCCTGCTTTGTCTCTTAACTTTTGTAAAATGAGGTTTGATGTGATGCTGCCATGGAGAAAAAGGGAGAGTCTAAAGCAGGCAGTAACTAATGTTCACAGAAAGAATATGTGTAATGGACCAGCTGGCTTATTATAAACTAAAATACTGCAGTATCTTCAATACAGATGATGGTAACAAAGAATAAATGTTGACATTTTCGTGGTGAGCAATGCAAGATCATCAAATCAAACAATTTCTGGCATACAATCAAAGCACTGTTAAAATGGAAACTCTAGTGATAAGAACATTTTCACATTTTTTCCTGAGTAGAAATGTGAGACTGTATGAAACCTCATGGATAGAACTCCCTGCACTGACACTGACTTGTCTTAAAAGCAAACAAAACAACAATGCACATACATACACACACACACACACACCCCAATAAGGAGCATCGCTGCATARCCGTGCCAGCTCTTCTCACCCTGACATGAAATTAAGTTGTAAATTAAGATAATTTCTGCTTGTTCTCTCCATGACCAAGGAGAACAATTGATTATTACCTTATCCACGGTCACCGCTTGTATACTGGCAGTCTGCAGTCATTTTACTCTCTCAGCCTTCTCTTTCTTAAAGCAAACAAACCCAACTCCTTCAGCATCTCCTTTTTCTTTGTGCTTTGCACAATTCTACCTTCCATTTTCCACTCTATTTTCTTCRTTTTCTCTACATCAGTAATAAAAGGTAGCATCCAAAACTGAGTGCAATCCCCCAAGTGAAACCTCACCACAACTACAGACAGGGAAATAATTGTAGGCTCTGTCTTGAGTATGACACTCCTGTTCATAAATCCTAGAATGTGCACTGTTGACTCATATTTCATCTGTGATGCTCTGCAATCTTCCAGTCTTCTACAAACATACCATCAGCTCGCTCAGTGTTCATCTTTTAATCTCTGTGCAGCTTCTTCCCGAGCACAGCACTTCAGACTGTTCCTGGAGGGCTTTTGGTCAAATATTTGGAAATAATTTCTCCAAGTTAAGATCATTTCAAATTCAGGGCTTGTAGTATTTCCTAATTGTCATCCACAGGTTGTATTTGTTTACTTGTTCAGTTGTTAATAAAAAATATTTATCAGATTTGATATCTATTATCAGATTATTTTCAAATTATTAATTTATCAGATATGAGTAGGCTAAATGGCCTACTTGAAGTATCTTCCCTGGCAGTGATCTGTTGGTAGCTGTTGCTACAGAGCTATTTTTCAACAGGCTGTATACCTACCCCATTGCAATTATATCTATACCATATCCTTAGCCTGTCATCTATGTCAAAAAGCGTTACTAAAATCCAGCACTTCTGCATTCCCTGCATCCTCTTTATTCACCAGACAAGCTATTGTGTCAAAGAAGAATATTAGATTGATTTGACATCAACTATTCTTGACAAGCCTGTGTTTTCTCTTGTTGGTTTTCTTTATCACCCTATCAGCTGGCTGCTTACAAATTGATTGTTTAATGATTTGTTCCTGAATCTTTTAAGGACCTCAAATAGCCTGGCAGGTCTGTAATCCCCTTGGTCCTCCTTTTACCCTTTTAAAAATATAATACCCTGTGTTTGCCCTTCTTCTGTCTTCAGGGACCTCCTCTCTCCTCTATGAGTTCTTAAAGATAATCACTAATGGCTCGGA